GCTTTGCGCCTTTTCAAAATTTTATTAGTGTTATTTTCTGTTATTGTTCTGGTTTAATGTTATTGTATTAGATAGTTCTTGATAATGTATTAAAGAAATAAAAAATACGCGTTAAGATGTTTTATTTTTTTGCATCAAAACGGCGCCCCATACGAAGAAAAGACAAGAGAGATTTTTTGTCACAAATTGAACGAGGAATTCAAAAATTTTTAATTTGTAATATCTCAGTGGCGTACAATTTTTTTCTTCAAAAAAATTGAGATTATTACCCGTACGCGCGCCAATGATGAACATAAAATTCTTAATTGCATGTCAAAAAATGCGCAATAACTACCTCTTAAAACCCACCAAATTTTATTTGCACATCTCGACCGGTTTCAGAGTTTTTAAGAAAAACTTTGATACTCCGTATCTCGGAAAACGAATCATTTGCGGACATACGTTTACAAGCAAACTGCCATTATTTTCTCATGTAGAATCACCCCCTGAAATTTGTCCACTTATTTACTAACACCCCGTATAAACCAAAATATTTTACACTTTGAACACAAACTAGGTCATACAAAAATAACTAGCACTGCAAATATAACAATGGATTTTTCATTGTAGTTTACTTTCAATGTGTATTGAATGTCTTATAAATTGTGACGAACTCCAGCTCAACAAAATCGTTTTACAAATACGATATTTTTTATTGCTCCATCACACCGTCATGAAAACATTAATAATGTACACATTTTGTCATTTAACTAGTATTAAAGGTATTCAAACTTATATTCTTCGTGATCCACAATGGTTTTCAGTTATTTCCCACTGGAACAATAAATTTGACAAGAGGGTGGTTAGAAGACACATCTACCATAACAAGATATAATGATGTTGTAGTCACATATCGATCTTCTATGAAGAAAGTAACATTTACAATTCCTATAAAGTTTGACACATTGATGGTGAGTCATTATTATTTTTATAATTGTTAAAAATTTTGCCACAAAAATTGTCGAACAGGTAACTAGGGCAAATCTTTCTCCGAAATACAGTTTCCGTTCTAACAGGAAGTGTCATTATTTTTGTAGTATATCATAAGTATCCCATGATTTTTCTTTCATATACTGTGTTAATAAAAGGTAGGAATATTGAATGTTTAACGATAGCGTTAAGTTTTACGATAAAACATTGATTTTTGTTTTTTTAACGATCTATCTTTAAAAATTTTACGTTCAACTGTGACGTCATTATATTTTTTTACTGGCAACCCCAATCTTTTCATGTGAATTTGATACAGCTTGATGTTCTGATCATGGTGATACAATCAACAATAATTACAATGAAATTCTGTACATTTCGGAATATGTTTTATTTCAACATGACGCATTTTTAATATGTTCTAGTTCATCCAAAAATGATCGTAAATTGCACTATTGCCATAAAAAAAATATATAGCTCGAAAATAATTGATATTAAAATTTAAGAGAATTCAAAACAAACAAAAAATTGAATCGAAATTAACATTTGCCCCAAAACTTATTCGTTTTTGCTTCCCATCCAATATTTTAGACATATACTTATGTACCTGTAAAGAAGAAGAAGAAAATCTTATAGATATTCTCCGGCTTGGTTTGATGGTAATATTATTAATAAAGTTAAATTAATGAATAAGTTGTGACATAAACATGTATCATTGATGATGATTATAACTGTTTTAAATATTTCAGAACTGAAGTTAAATCTTAGATTAGTTTCGCTTTAAAAAGTATTTAAATTGAGAATGAATGATCTGACCTTAAATCCTAAAATGTTTTGATCTCATATTAATTCAAGGTCTAGCTCTACCTCAAATCCATTCTGTATCAGTCACAATAGTATACATATAATTAACGCTACTTGCCAGAACTTTTGCCAATTATTTTGCTGAATTATTTTTACATTTAATTTTACAATAAGACATTCTAATTCTTGATTTTTTTGATAAAGGCTGCTAAACAATTTTTGTAAAACCGTAAAACCTTTAAAAGACGTCTTTAATTGTATATCCACGGATATTAAACATGTCGCGAATATTTAATAAAGCTACTAAGAATGATATAAATAACTACCTCCCATAGTCATTATAAATAATCTTTCCGAAATTCTTGAAATAATTTTTTGATGGTCAACTTCATTTTCATTTCAACTAATGTCTCAGTACCAATACGGATTTATGAGAAAATTCAATTTATTGATGAAGCGTATACTTATATATAGCGATTTTTCTGAAGCAGTCATTCGGCCTCATCACCACCTATTAACAGTAAAATTCGAATTATATGGCCCGATACATTTGTTTAAATCTTATTTCACAATCAGTGGCAGATACTTGTTGCTACAGAATTGTGACTTCCAATAAGATCAATTTTAAAATCTCCATGGGTCCTCAAGGGTCTACTCTGAGGTCATTTTTGTTTACTATTTTTATTAATGATCTTACGAAATGCCTTAATGTAAATTACTTGTCGTGTGCGACAGATTTCTAATTGTTTTTGGAGATGTTCTGCTGATTGTACTAGATAGTCTTAACAAGTCGAATAGTTGGTGTGCGAATAATAATCTGCATCTGAATGTAAACAAGGTTCTAGATTGTAAACAAACATTCTAGACTTTTATTATAAAATTAGTGAATCTTTTTGAAGTAGACTATTACAATTACAAGTTAACCGACATTGTTACATTTGATATTAAATTGTTGTTGATGAACATATTCGTTAAATATTCAAATTTTTTAAAACAGACTCTATTTTAAGTAATTTTAAAGACTCGTATATATTACTAAGACTGCAAAATATAATATGCATTGATGGTACCTAAAGACCATACATTTCATTAGTTATGTAGTTCATCCTTCTTGTGGTACACCTCAAACATTTTAATTTTAATAATTATCTTTTCAATCATATTCCATTTTAAAATTACAAATAGGTACTTTAAATTCATTAGTTTAAAAAATTCTATATCATGTTCCTAAAGTTTATTCAATATTACAATTACCCACACTTCGTACAAACCTGCTACTCGAAATCATTTCTAATTACCAAACATATGAATTGATATATTTTTTTCGTCGATGAATAACATAAAAAAAATGATTAGCAACTGTTAGTAAACTCCTGTATACCTATGTTATTTACATTATCTATTTTTTTGTTATATTTTGGAATAAACTCTTAATGCTTGTCGTTTTATATTTTATTTCTGTTTCATCTTATTACATACCTAATTGGGACTTTATTCTTCTAGATATTGTATTTACAAATAAATAAAATAAATAAACAGGCCTGTCTTGTGCTACACAGTGTAGTGTACAGAGTGTCTGGTATGTACATGGCATACTCGCGGGAGTGTATGTGTATAACCCTAGTTTCTCATAAAAAAAAACCCTAAAGTGACCCTTAACGGAGATACAGAGCCCCACCCAACGATTTACCTTTCCGGCTCTAACTTTTGAACTGACGTGTATAATTTAATGAAATTTTAATATTTTATTTAGGCCATAAATCTAGGCCCATTAAACCATACTACGGTAGATGTTTTAAACTGTCAGGGAAGTCAGGAACGGTCTTGCCACCATATTCATTGAGCCAAAATTTTGACAGGTGCCACTTTATAGAGCTGAAAACTGAATTTTTAAATACTGTGGCCATTCCTGTTTAAAAAAGGTACTCTACATTTGTTGAACAAAACAATACTAGTCAAATTTGGATTTTGCCTAAATCGTTGCAAAAACCAAATTGCGTAAATGACTTTTGCAGGATAATCAGCGGGAGACATAGCATGTACCTTTTGGACGTGATTATACACTTCGGTTCAAAAGTTAGAGGTGAAGGTAAAAGGTAAATCACTGGGTACCCCCTTGTGGCTTTGTATCTCCGTTAAGGGGTACTTTAAGATGTTTTTTATGACGAACTAGGGTTATTTTGACCTCCCTTATTATTTATTAGTATGCAATATACTTACCAGACATCATGTATACTCAAGAGTTCAGGATAGTATCTCTGAACACTAAACGATACTTTCGCGGTAAGCTATTAAAAATTATTTTTTTGTAATTTCAGTTTATATATAAATACTACACAAAGGTACTCTTGCTTAATGCAGAAGGTGATGTTCAGGGCAAAATGGCGAATGTGAGAGCAAATATAAGCCTCAGTTTTGATTTTGAAACATACGTTGCCTCATTAGATACCTTTGATATTACTGACACTGGGTAAGTAATTATAAAAGCACAACCATTTATAAAATCGACATATCTGTATATATAGTGATACCTGTACAAAAATATTTTTAGTCTTTGACATGACAGAAAACCCGGCGATCTTATGCAGCCGATCATAATAATGACCAATTGTAGTGAACTATTGCCGCTCTTTATTCAGCGTGTCTCACTATTGAGTTAGAAAAAGAAAAAACTTTTTCATGTACGTAACTGTAAATCTTTTAAAAATTTCTTGTTTCTTCTCAAATTCTTAAAAATGTAACTATTTCCTCACAAAAAGAATTAACCGATTTCGTATCAGTTAGATGGCTAGGACCACTTATAATTCTTGTAATTATGTCAGAAGCTGATTAACAAATGATTGCACAGCCCCACAAAAAAAATTGTGGGATGTTCGAAAGACAAGACCGTGGTGTCCATATCGGGTTGCTGAATCCGAATCCGGTATACGCTTGACTCGATCAGGTCTGGGTTAAGGTCAATTCAAGGCCAAATATAGAAAGTCAATGGCCAAAAAAGTAAACCTTCATAACTACGTTGTTGGTTGCTTAATATGAATCCGATATCCATTTGACTGGATCAGGTCTGGGTTAAGGTCAGGTCAAGATTATGGTGTCGAGACTACTACTTACGTTTGTGGTATCAAACTATTTCATTGTCAAAAGATCTGCGAAGTGGATTTTTTTATATGTTTATATTCCATCTGCCTTGGTACCGACGCTCTATTTCCTTAATATGTTGGTAGAATCTTTCTCCATGCTCCACAAAACCAATCAAATTTTTATAGTCATCTTTCGTATGTTAACCGATATTTCTTCTATTCCTGCATCGTCGGATTATAGTTTATTTGACATATCGAAGAAATCTTGATCACCTAAAATGTCTGCCACTTAAGGTACCCCCACGTTGTGATGGTAGACAACTACTTTTTGTGAATTTCTTTTACAACAACAATTAACTCGAGAGCCACGGGCTCAGAGTGAAAGCTTTCTTTAATCTTATTTCTTACTCAAATTTTAATATGCATAAATGCATCACTTGATTGTTTTGAGTTTAGAACTTGAGAGTATTTAGCAGACTCGATCGGGTCAAACTGACCACGAATTGGGATTTAGCGACCCCAGAAACGTATAGATGTAGGTTTACCTTGTTGGCAATTGATTCTCTACATTTGACTTTGAAGTGACCTTAACCCAGACCTGATCGGATCAAATGGATTCAGATTCAACGGTTTATCATTGTTCATCGTAAACGAATCATTAATATTGGTGACGTTAAGAGTTAGGGATTTTTAGTTTACAGTACCTGCCGTGCAATGTTGGTTGCCTAAAGCTAGGTGCTCATGTGGCTTATACCTATCGCTTGTGACTCCTGAGATTTGAAATAAAGGAATTTTGGATTATTTTTTTAATTAGGACAACAGTTCTTATTTTATTTGGTACTGTTACTGTTCTCTATTGTAAACTAAAATGATCAATAAATTAGTTTTGATTATATTAATATATTTCGTCTGTTCCAGGCGAGTAAGCCTTACATTTTCGGGGAATGGTTTGATAGATTGGATCACTAGTTCTATGACTAGTGTAGTCAGTATCTTTATGCACCCTATTATAATTCGCATTATTCAATCAATGGTTAAAGGAGGATTAGATAAGACTGTGGAAGTAATTAATGAAACTATTAAAGATGTGTTACATACCTAATTAAATAAAAACTTACTTTTAAGAATTAGCGTTTGTTTTTAACATTACTATTATTGCTCTTTATTACTAAAGGGAAACTATGAAATATAACTTAATTAACATAGTAGTATTACCGTAATATCAAAAAAATTGTGCACTAATGTTTTGCTGTTTTACTACAGAGATATCCAAAATTGTAATTATTTAGAGCACTTATAATAAAACTTACTGTGCAGCTGTTTAATTTATCTTTTGAGTAATACCAATAAATTATGTCCTACACTTGCAAATCTTGAGTTTTTATTTTTGACCGTTTCAAAATTCTTACAAATATTTTTTAATTTAAACTTTGCAGGGCCGGACTTCTCTAATCATGTTTAATTAAACAAAACTTTATTAAGGTAATGTTCACCATTGCCAACGTTTTCGTTAAATGTGGGCTCATTAGTTACAGCGTTGAGCGAGAAATATTAATTCTCACTAAACGGTTAGAGTTAAATAGTACTAGTTGTAAGCGGTGTTTTTTTTCTCCCTTCTAGATACAGAGTTCCATTTATTTACTGGATTTACAGATATTTTTCTACAACTAATATTATTTACAAAAATTATTCTAACAGGAAATTGAATTGATTTGTACCCCTAAACTTGCCTTCTGTTTTAAACAAAATAAATTTTGAATTAAATCAGAAAATATAAGGGGATCTTTTTCATTCAGAATTTAAAATTTCACTTTGTATTAGGCCATACAAATTTTTCATTAAATTAATGAAGAAATTGCTCATATTCCTTAACTCTTTGATTAGGGAAATTATATCACACGTATTGGGGCAACATATCCAATACCAGATTTAGTTTGTATATTTCTAATTTGAAAAATACAAAAGTAGTGGATTAAAAAGAAATCTCATCCATCTCGAAGAGGAAGTATATTTAAAAAAAAATGATCAAAATGATTTATTTTCAGATGTACCTACTTTCATCACATACTCATACTTTCGGGGGCAACGTTTAAATGTGACACCTTGTAGGAACTAGTAAAACAAGGAAAAATTAAGGGCGTCTGTATTAAGAATGTCACAAGGTCGTTGATTATACCTCCAAAAATTGAGAGACTGTATTAGAATTTTTTACCGAAAAATTAATACAGATATCATACTAGTGCTATAACTATAACTACTACCATGGGCGTAGCTAGGATTGCTGCTTGGGGTGGATCTAGGGCTGCAAGTTTCATGGTGGCCTATAGAAAACAAGCCCAAGCACTTCAAATCCCTAACACTTTCTCATTTGATTTTAGAAAAAGCACGCAATCATCGGTTTACCGATATAAAATTCAAAACCTAAATACTTTTTGGTTTGACTGGATGGAAAAGCGTCCAGTAATAATAATGTAATTTTTTAATCTTGAAGCATGCAACAATAACAATTACGGGGGCCCTTATAAAGAATAATGAGAAATGTGTAATTTGTTACATCTGAGGGCGTCGATTTCAATGTCCTCCGGATCCTTACGGCCTAAAATCGTCAACATTTGTGGGCAAGCGATACAGAACCTTCATAAATGATTATGAGCCACGTGACCAGTAATTTTGTTTGGAACACAACGTTCTGTTTCACCGGCTGTGATTGGTGTAATTTTTCATGAGATTCTATTCAACCAATCAGCGATCGCATTTTCTCGAGCGTAGACGTAACGGTTTATCATTGATCATTGAAAACGAGTCATTAATATTGGTGACGCCAACATTTTGGGAATTTTCGTTATCAGTACCAATCGTGCAATGTTGGTTTGCCTAAGCTCGGCGGTCACGTGGCTTGTAAACATTTATGAAGGCTCTATATAATGGCCGAATTTTCAATTTCTTTTCGGCATGGACCTACTCCATGAAATCTACCTCAGCATACTTCATTTATGTTTCAGTCAAAATTTTATGCCCTACGGACTGTGTTCAAAAAAACTATCAAAAACAGTAAAAATTCGTATTAGGCGTTTTTAAAGGAAAAAATCTGATATTTTAATTCAATTGTTCATATTTGTAAATAACAAAATTTCAATTAGATGTATCTTAGGTACAGGATAATTTAATAAATTCAATACAATTTTGAAAATGCAATACAGGGTGATTCATTAACAATGGGAAAGTCGAAAGCTGACGATACTACACTTGAAATGGTGACAATTGGCGCAAATATGCCTTATCCGAAAGTTAATAGTTTCGGAAATACGGGATGATGAAAGTTAAAATTTTAAATAGTTTTTTTTGCGATTATTCTGAAAATATGTAGGTTAGGAACTTGAAAATTTGTGAAACTATATTTTTTTAGATGACGAATAAGATGCCTGTTGTAATTTCAGCATTGTTCATAGAGGGCGCTACTTACGACCAATTTTACCGAATATTTAGTTAATAACTTGTTACTATGTATATTTAACATGAAACTTGATTCAAAACTTGAAAGAGTTATTATTTTTTCATTAATTATGTACTCTTGTTTCATTTCGGTATCTCGCTCCGTTTTCGAGAAAAATTAATTTAACGAACACTATGTTTTGATAGTATGAGGAATTAAAAGCGAAACAAACCAAGTGTTCCTTCATGTTATTACAACAACTAACAATAAAACAAATAAAATACGTAATTATGATTTAAAGTAATTGTTCGAAGAATCCACCGTTGACACTGATACACTTTACACGTTTTCTGAGAGATCTTCGAGTTTGAAACAACATATTGGGATTGCGTCTGACTTCGTTGGCAGCGATTTGTATTCTTTGCCACAACTCTTCACACGAGCCAATAGATTCTTTGTTAACTATATCTTTCATTCGATACCAAATAGAAAAATCAAGAGGATTGTAGTCCGGACTTCTGGATGGCCAAGCAAAAATGATTATATGGCCAATTCCGCGATTTGGAAAAACTGCATCTAAATATGCACGCACTGGCTAGTGGAGCTCCGTCGTGCATGAATCACACGTCTCTTCTTAATTAAAGTGGAACTTCTTCAAGCCGTGGAAGCATTTTTACTTGGCCACCTAGAAGTCCGGACTTCAATCCTCTTTATTTTTCTATTTGGAAAAATTTATTGGTTCGTGTGAAGAGTTGTGGCAAAGAATACAAATCGCTGCCAACGAAGTCAAACACAATCCCAATATGTTGTTTCAAACTCGAAGATCTCTCAGAAAACGTTGTGTAAAGTGTGTAAATGTCAACGGTGGATTCTTCGAACCGTGACTTTAAATCATTATTACGAATTTCATTTGTTTCATTCTTAATTGTGGTAATAACTTGAAGAAACACTTGGTTTGTTTCATTTTTAATTTCTCGTATTATCAAAACATGTTCGTTAAATCGATTTTTCTCGAAAATGGATCGAGATACCGTAATGAAACAAGAATACACAGTTAATGGAAAATGATTGCTCTTTCAGGTTTTGAATCAAGTTTCATGTTAGACCATACAGGGTAAAAAGTTATTAACTAAATTTTCGGTAAAATTGGTCGTTAGTGCGCCCTCTACGAATAATGCTAAAATTACAACACGCATCTTATTCGTCGCCCAAAAAAATATAGTTTCACAAATTTTCAAGTTCCAAACCTACATATTTTCAGAATAATCGCAAAAAAACGATTTAAAATTTCAACTTTCAACACCCTGTATTTCCGAAACTATCAACTTTCGGATAAGGCATGTTTGCGCCAATAGTCACAATTTCACGTGTAGTATCTTCAGCTTTCGATTTTCCCATTGTTAATTAATCACCCATATTTCTGTTGGCATTTGATTCGTCCTCCAAAATATATTTGCACATTATTGTTATTTGAATAATACACTTTTATTATGTTTTATTCTTCGTCATCAGAATAACCCATTTTAATTTTTTTAAATGGGTTATTCTGATAATGGATAAATCCCATGTACATATTTTTAAAGGAAGGTTCGTTTCTGTCGTTTTTGTCTGATTGTGTGCGAGAGAGATAAAGTTGTTATAGTGTGCGATAGATAGAGTGACTTTGTCCTCATAGAGGGTTTTTCTCTTTCTGTCTCTCTCTCTCTGCTGTCTTCAGGAGTCTCTGGGGACTCTTCAGGACACCTAAGGAGGGAGCGTGTGGTAGAGCGCGTGGCCTTCGTCATCGAGCTATGACGTCACAACATATGAGAAAAAAACGCTTTTTGCTCGTAACTCGGAAATGGCTGGAAATATAAACAAATCTCCCCTTAATTCTGAGTAGAGCACTCGGTGAGTGAGGCAGAGAGGGGTGTCACAATATATGAAAGAAAAAAAACAGTATTTACTTGTACCTTGGAATACTCGAAACGTCAAAAAATCTCCCATAGTTCTGCTTGGTGATCGAGTGAAAAACGTCCTAAGGCCGCATGTCAAAAAAATAAAAAATCGGGACCAACAACAGTGTGTGACATCATAGAATAAAAAACTGTTTATAACTCGGAGAATCGAAAAAATAATTGAAAAAATCTGCCGACATCCATAGTCCTGATTGTCCCTTCAGCGTTGAATGCAAAAGGTCCGAAGTCCTCATATGGAAAATACATTTCGGAAACAAGAGGTGTGTGAGGTGATACAGTAAAAAAGGTCTTATAACTTCGGAAACGGTGCGTTAAATCGAAAAAATTATTGAAAAAATCTACCCCATACCCCCTGGTTCTGATTGTCCGTTGTGCGTTGAATGCAAAAGTTCCGAAGTCCGTATGTCGAAAATAAATTATGGAAGCCAGAGATGTGTGACGTCATATAGTAAAAAGGCCGTATAACTCGGAAACAGTGCGTTGAATCGAAAAAATAATTAGAAAAATCTCTCCGACACGCCTGATTCTGATTGTCCGTTCTGCGTTGAATGCAAAAGGTCCGAAATCCGTATGTCGAAAATAAATTTTGGAAATAGGTGTATGACGTCATATAGTAAAAAGGCCGTATAACTCGGAAACGGTGCGTTAAATCGAAAAAATAACTGAAAAATTTATCACAAATGTGATTTCCAAACAAAAGATAAGTTCCATATCTCTTTAATTACATAATTGAATGCATTATATTTATTTGACTGTTATTATTTGGCAACAAAGCCATCGCTAGAACTGCTCCTATTACCAAGTAGAAGAGTTACCGCGCTAAATTTTAGTGCTGGATGCCGGCTGACAAATGCCTGCATCCTTTTCGGGTCGCCAATTTCCAGCATTTAACACGCAGTCTGTGGCGATAAGCTATATTGTCTGAGATATAATATTGAAAAATTACTGTTACAATAAAAATTACCTTAGCAAAACATTTCTATTTGTCGATTTCCCTCAGTATACTAGTACTTTACAGTAGTTTTTGAATGATAAAGTTTTACGACTTTGTGTTCGTCCAATGTAGGTATTCCAAAAGAAATATGTAAGAACGTAGATATCTATGCTGTAGCCATAGGTACCCCATTTCCGTATCGAACAAACATTCAAATATATTCTTATATAATGTAGCATTGTGTACCTATCTATAATATTGAAGTGATTGAAATATAAAAAATTATAAAATTCGTACGGAAAATACATATAAATTGTTAATAATTTTATACCTTTTCATTCTTATTGAAAGGTGTTGGTATTGCAACTAAAGAGTTTTCATTTCCTATATGAAAATATGCAAGAGTTAATAGGAGATAGTGAAAGTTTGCCTCAAAATCTTTGTGTACACATATGTCAGTGTATTCTTGAAGAAATATTAGATAAATTATTTATCTTACAAAGAATAAGGAATGATTTAGGTATAAGAAATGAGACCAAAGCTTCGTCAAGGACACCACAGAAAACCGTGGAAAGTTCAGACAATCAAATCGCTGAAAACGTTAAACGTAATATAACAAAATTTAACAAAAATTTTAATTTTATTGAACAAACTATACAGACTGCCTATGAAGAACTAACAAGTAAAGGTACATATAAAAAATTACTAGAAGTTGTTAAGAAATATAACAAATCTAAATTGGAAGAAAAACATACTAAGGAAGAAACAGCGAGACTGCAAACTGAACTCAAAGAACTTGAATGTACTTTATATGATGAAGAGAAATTTTATCACAGAAGAATTGCCGAATGTATGGCTGATATTGGAAAAATAAAGGATGAAATAGAGGTTTGTTATGATAATGAAACAGTGCTTTTATAATTTTGTCTGCAAAAAAATTAACCCTCCACTTTGGTATGAATTTTAATTTAAAAGCTTAAATCGATAATTTATCTATTTTTAAGTGCCTTCAAATGAGGTGTACCCTACTATTTATAAAAGTAGGGAACATTAACAGTAGAAACGGAATTTTTCATCAGTCTTTCTTGAAAAATCGACTGTCAGATTTTTATTCCTCTTCTAAGATAAATTTCTTTTATTTTATTCTAAGAAGTATGGAGTGTAAACAAGGAGTGATGACTCTTATGGCTGCGCGTACAAATTCGGATCCCGTTTTGTAACCCAAATTAAAGTCGCCGTTGTATAGTGCTGATCTACTGTAGTGGAGAGTCTAGTAATGAAGTTGCGCATACAAGTTTCTTGCGCGTCATTTTCATACCCTACTTACATCAGCGCCGCCTTTACGTGACCCGAGAAATGACTCAATTTTTTAACATTATTCACTCATTGTATACCCTCCATAGAGAGAAGATAACATAGGATCTTCTCATTGTATATGTACTAATAAATACCCTTGGTTTCTCAACATTCTTTTTATATAATTTAGACTTAAAAATACTAAATAGAGTTGTACCGATAAATTGTTTACTAGCTTTCACTGTATCAATTTAATAAGTAAGTATGTTTTTCAAAATTATTTGCTTCCTTTCGTCTACGAATTAAAACTAAAAAGCCGACTGACGTTAGAAACATTATTTTTTAATTTAACAAATATATTCTGCAGGACTTTTTAGTTGAGAGCGAAATAAAAACAGATTATATTGAAAAATGGCAGAATTCAAAAATTGAGATGAACGAAATTTTGCTGGAAGGAAAGGAACAACAAAAGTTAAAGGAATTAAAAAAAATAGATGCCGATATGTATAAAGAGTCCAGAGTTCATCAAGAAATAGTAGCAGCTTATAGTGAAATGCAAAAGGTAAGGTAATATTAATAATAAATACAACTTTTAGAATAAATTAATTAATTAAAATATTATCGTTTTAATTATAAATTTAAAGGTAGAAGCCCTATCTGAATTGGAATTATTATAAATATTTTTTAAATTTAATTCTTTCATATAATTGTATCAATAAAGGCTATTAGACAGTAAATTCATGAGTTAAATAATGAGGAAAAAAAAACATGAATTTATTAAAAACTAACTGATCCTGTCCAAATTTCAATTTTAAATTTAAGTTTAAATTTTTATCGAATTTTCCAATTTTCCGGCAACTTTTTCAATTGTTTTTTTTCCTAAATACCTGCTTATTCGGACTGTTACCAACATTTAGAAAAGAAATTAGCCAAATCGGAGTTGAAAAAGTGGTAGGAAATTGAGTTTTCCTGGAAATATACATAGATGGAGAAAATAGTTTCGAAAATTCTACCATACGCCATTGACGCAGCGAATGATATGTTTGAAGATTAATTTTAATTGCCTCAGACATGTCAGTTCTCAGATATTACTGAAAAATTATTTCAAAAGTGCTGACGCTGACTTTTTAATGGATGAGATTTAAATCAAAGAATATTGTAATAGATTACAACACTCCCAATTGTTCGGCTTTCCGTAACAGATGACTGCAGTAAAAATTGAAATTCATTTTTCTCTGGAACAGTACATTTTAGCGGCATCTGTTTTATCTCAAAATCACTACCAATATAAGATCTATGACAGAAAATAAAAAAACAGTTTAAAGTGTTCTTAGCGACTGATAGCCTTAAGCTCATATTTATATTTAGTCTTCGGTTATCTTAAAAATCCAGTTTCCATGGAACTGTTCTTCAAGTATGGTCCATTTACTTCCGAATTCACTATATGTATTGTACCTATCCACCAAGTCTTAACCATTTTTTGTTGAAAGTAGGGGAAACATAAATTGATAACAATTTTTTCAAATCCATTCCAAGGATTTCCTTCTTCCTTTCTCCATTTTTACGTGTTAGTAGACTGATTTACTGAAAAATTTTCCTAGTAAAATATCTTACCTCTGTGAAATTAAACATTGAGAGGCCAAGTTTTATTTTAGATGGATAAATCTTAAATTTCGAATGATTTTAGACAATAAGTTTCGTTTTTAGGATATTATCATTGAAACAGCTAAGTGGGAGAAAAAGTATAACAAGGACTGTAAACAACTGGAAGCTAAAATAGAAGCCATGAAAGACAAAAGAGAAAAACAGAATGAAGCAACAAAAATTCTTAAAGAAACAGTAGGTATTATATGCTTCTGATTAAAAATCAAATAATAATTAGAGTAACATTTATAGTACTTGAAACGCGAAAGAGAAATAAATGACTATAAAATTTACAAAATACAACAGGAAGAAAAGAAAATGATACTTCAGAAAAGAAATGAAGCAGCTACGAAAATCCAAGCTTGGTGGAGAGGCACCATGGTGAGGAAAGGTTTTGGCAAATTTAGAAAAAAGAAAGACAAAAAGGGAAAGAAAAAAGGGCCAGAAAAGAAATAATACAAATATATACGTATGTGCATGTCTAGGGGTACCTACATATAAATGTGTGAGTGATCAAATAAACTTTTATAGATATAATTAAATAATCCTGTTTAAAAGATCTATCTAAAAAATCTACTTCAATAAATAAGGAATTTAGAACATCATTTGGGTTGTTTCATCATCATAATTATAAGATTGTTTAAGTAATTAACATTGAAAATTTAACACCTTGTATATAAAATCAGGAAAGTATAGTCTATCTGAAGGTAGTTCCGATATTTCCCGCTTAGTTAGGAAGTGTTAATTTTATTATTTCATATTTAGTTTTTTTTTTAATTTAATTTTACTGATTTATTTTATTCCAAGGAATAAAACAACAATGCCAGCGAACTTCACAAACACATTATTTGTCCTTATGTTTTACGTATGCATGTAAGCTTATCTCTCCCTCGTTTCTGTTTTTTGAGAAAAGGCATATTTAACATAAGAAAAGAGTCCGCATTAGGAGTGACAAAAATAGAAGACCATAATAACAGGGCAAGCATCTTCTGTGCAAAATTTTACCTAGGTCTTCTGATAAATATAATTATTTATAATGAAGAATTTTATATTTTTGAATTAGAGATGTGCCGCGGGCATGTCAGCTGGACATGTCCATCGGACATATCGTGAAAAGTGGACATGTCCTGAGGACACTTTTCAAGATTGAAAAGTAGTATGCGCATGCGCGGAATTATTTGTTCATTTCATAATTCCCGCAAACAAATTTTGAGGTTGGTACATGTAGAATTAAAGATATTTAGCCATTTTTTTGTAATTTTGTTGGTAATTGTTCAACTGAACCAGACATTTTAAAAATATAACCTCTTTTATATGTCCATATTTTATTATTTTTAGCAAAGTTCCAAAGTTAACGATTAGTAAATAGTAATCAGTTGATTCTTAATTTAATATTTAATAAACAAATAGTTTATAAATGAAGTATGACGCCAAATTTAACAGTTTGGTTATATTTTTCTGAATTGAGTAAAAATCATTATAAATGTAACTACTGTTCAAAAACAATTTTTAAGAATTCCAGTAGGATGGAAAAACATTTAAATAATTGTATTGGCAGGAAAATTAGAAACCAGTTTATAAAAAAGATAAAGGTAGGTAATAAGTAAAATATATCGACATGTATTCAGTAGAATAAAATATTTTGCTTTGTGTACTCTCAAGCAGTGACCTGTGAAAACATGACATCACTCATACGCCTCCTTACACACGGACGGTATTTTGCCGATCGGCATTTAAAACGATCGGCAAAACAACGACTAAAATTTTAAATTACACATAGTTAGATACATCTTTACACAGAAACGTCGCCGTCAGGTCTGACGATCGGCTACCGACCGGTAAAACAATGCCCGTGTGTAAGATGCGATAGGTGCCTCATTAGATTCAAGGTCAAAAGTACTTTTCCTAACATGTCCGGACAATTCATCGACATGTCCAACGGACATGTCGGTAACACACTTTTCCGAAAAGTGCCCATCTCTAATTTGAATATATGAACAAATCACCTCTGAACATCTAAATCTCGTGAACAAGATAAATTTGGAATACTATAGAAATAATTGTTAATGTGAATGCGATGATAAATGTGAAATAGAGAATTAATGCTATAGGAACTTTATAAAAAAAGTATTTTACCTATTTTTTTATCTATAATGGGGTAGATCTTAGAACATACATGGAGGAAGCACCGCGTATTAAAAAGTGTAAAGGCTGTAGAGAGAAAATAAGGCAATAGTCTGGGTACTCGCTCTCTCTCTCTCTAATCGTTGAGGAAGAGTAGGTAGGGAGATCCCCCCTTCGCCCGAGCGATAGCGAGCGTTAGCCAATCACGTGCCTGCGCAAGAGAGCAAAATAATACTCAAACTCTGTTTCCCCCTCTGTCACTCGTACACTGTCACTGTAAACGTACTTCATCCATGTAGTATCACATATGTGGTAGTATGTGCTCTAAGGAATAAATATACAGTGTGGAAGAGCCAAACGGAATAAATTCAGTATATAAATTATTGTGTACATTTATAATATTTATTGCAAAAATTAATGGTCTGCCGAAGGAAATTTGTTACAACAAATAAAACATATATAAAAACAGGGTTTTCTTCTTGCAGGCTAGCAAAAACAATTTCAGTGTTCTTTTTCAACATTCAACATTTTCAACTAAAAAGAAGATACAGGGTAGGAAAGTACCGATGGTCTATCTGAATTTACGTGAGAGCGATAAAGTAAGCCATAGAAATCCATGCGATAGAGAAGGATGGCTATAATGAAGACGTCTCATAGTCACCGCACGTTTCGCCCTTCCACAAATAAGAAGTGGATCTTATTTGTGGAAGGGCGAAATGGGCGGTGACTATTAGACGCCTTCACTATACCCATCCTTGTCTATCACATGGACTTCTATGGCTTACTTTATCGCTCTCACGTAACTTCAGATACAGGGTCGGAAAGTCCCCATGGTTCATCAGCCGTTACGTGAGAGCGATAAAGTAAGTAATAGAAATCCTCGCGATAGAGAAAGATGGCTATAATGAAGGCGTCTAATAGTCTCCGCCCATTTCGCCCTTCCACAAATAAGAAGTGGATCTTATTTATTTTTTGCAAAAATATAAATTTTTGTATTCAACTCCCTGCCATGCGCCTCTAGCAGCTTGCGCCCATAGGCGTGTGCCTACTCTGCTACGGCGCTGGTAACTGCCATTTGAAGGAGGTTGAATTTGGGGAAGAAATTTTTACGTTGCAGGATGTCATTTCAGAATCCAAAATCGATATGTCTTGGCATTTTTTATAAATATACACAATAATACTGAATTTATTCCATTTGACTGTTCCACACTGTACGTAACCAAAAAACAGGTCTGTGTATTTTCAAGGACAAAATATGAGGTTTAACCTTACTTACCCATATACAAAAATGTATCTTTAAAAGATTTAAATTCTTTTTTGCAATAATTCAATAATTCATGTCAATTTTTCACGTATCAGTTTAAAGTTTAGTAGAGATGCGATTAAGCAAATTCTCAACGATACTATTGCAAAAGACATAACAAACAAATGTAGAAACTGGGAGGAAGGGGCTACTTTGTTCCCTCATTTTTTCTGATATACACCCATGGACGTTCATGGTAGCATAACATTTTATTTAGAATATTTTTTTACTCCTGACGTTCATAAAACTTTTTCAAGATATTTTCGATTTTTGAAAGTCATACAATGTTAGGGATAGCCACAGAGGATGAATCGCACTTATTAACATTATACGCCTCTTTCAGATCAATATTCTCAACCAATTTAGAATAAACATCGTTATTCATAAACCTCCAATGGATTAAAATTGGGGGAACGTGGTGGCCACTGAACAAACCATTTGTCTGCATTTCTCGTAAGTTGTTTTTAGGTGTCGTTTACCTTGAGAATTTGATCAATCCCAAAAAGTATATCTACTAAATTGCAAACTGACGTGAAAAATGAATCATAACATGGTTCGCATAACTCGAATGAATCATACAGGTTCGTCACATCTGTATACAACACAAAACGGTCATCATACACAATAAAAATAATTTGAAAATTATATTTATTTAAGTTTTAATAAATCTCTGCAAGTTAATTATATGTACAGTAAAAAAAATAACATTTTGCACTTATTAATTCTATAGTTCCCAAATAAGTTTACAATCATCAATAACTTCTTGTGGGTGCGAATTTTTGTGGAACATGAAGAATCCCTGGATTTGAGCCGGACTCACATTTTTGTTAAATAATGCAACTTTTTCAGCAAACACTTTTGCTTGAGATTTTGCATCCTCCCCATCATAAAACCTCAAAAACATCTTCTCAATTTGGCTTTTAGAACACCACCCTATATATTCTTTAAGGTCCACTCTGCCTGGACGAATCAGTGCAGCGTCTAACCTGAAATTTAACATTAACTACAGTGCCTTCATAAATGCCCGAGTTCCACATGACCAGATTTGTTTTGGCTCTCAATAAATTTGATTTTCTTAAGTTGGTGTTTCAGAAATTACCAAGGTAAAGTCAGCAACTAAGACCCTAGATTAAATGTTAATCCAAAGACGTTCGTAATTTTTTGTGCTTGTATGCTTGTTTGCACAATTTAACTGTGTTTACTAGTATTTTTGTGCTTTTCTACAATTTGTTGAGTTGAAAAAACTATTCTTTTTTTTTCAGCTCGCGAGACATCGATTTAAAAAAAAACATCAAAATCGGACCACTAGAAGCCAAGATAATCAAAATTTTTAAGCACGCCGCTATTTTGAACGTGCTCTCGACTCCCCCCACCACTACCTCCCATAGATTTTTCGTGAATTTCATGCTCAGTCCAATAGTTTTAATCGACATTTTATATGGGTTGCACAAGGGCGCAAGTTTTGCAAATTCACTCCCAGAAGGTACTCGGAATAACAAAGGTATTTGTTTAAAAAACAGCCCTCCAGACATCATAGTTACGTCACAAATGTCGGTCAACTTTGATCGATTATAACTAACTCTGGAACCAATTAACGAATCACTTTTTTGTTTAAAGAAGCATCTTTCCGAGAACTTTAAAAGCATAATTTAAAAAAATAATAATTATAATGAATTTATTAAGTTATTCTATTTGTTTATAAGCGCAAAAATTACGCATATCTTTAAACAATTACCACGGCTCTCCTAATTAACGGATTTCCATTTTTCTGGACTCATTTTAAAGTTTGAGTGCCCTTTTTATGTGATAAAATTTTCAAGTGTCTAGAAGTCTTAATTTAGGTTTAGGTAATTTGCAAAAATTTCAATTATTTTTCAAAAATCTGGATTGCAAAATTATTACTCGAAAACTGTCAGACCGATTTTAACGAAAATTGGTGTAATGTTTTATTACCTATATCAAAAATATTTTTTTGGCCAAATATGAAGATCCTACTTATAAGTACTTTTAAAAAAATCGCAAAAATATTGTAATTTTTTTCACTTGTTTTTGTTTTTGCTATATTTGCAATAATTATGTATTTTTTATTTGAAAATGGGTACATCTTGTGTAAAATTTAATTACGAATCTTTTTTTCCTCTTCAATTTTTCTCTAAAATGAATAGTTTTTGAACTGTGTTGAAAAAAAGAGAAAAAAAATATAATTTTTTCCAATTTTTTCACAATTTGTTTAATATTTAGCACACGTTTTGAAGCGCGCGCATAATGAAATTATGTTTTGTTATATCATTTTGGAGCCATTAAAGCAAAAATTAGCGATACTATATAAAATATCTACACCAAAACAGATCCTGCCTGGTCTAATAGAGGATACTTTGAAGTTTGAAGTTTTCAAAACCCTGCTTAGATTTTCTGTACGATAATTAGTTCCCGAGTAATTAATTACACAGTCACAGACAAAATATTGTTCTGTTCCCTTTTTGTTCTTGCACTTTTTTCTCTAAAGTATACATTCTTGGGGATCTATGGGCATTTTAATACTCAAAATTGGTTAAAAATTGCTTCACAAGGAGGCATTTTAGAGAAAAAAAGTTTTTATGTTGACCCTGTGTACTTTCAAAATCTTAACTACTTTAACAAAAAATAGAGATTTCCAGTGATTTTGAGCTATAGCTAATATATTTGTTTTTGATTCCATACGCTGGTGTAATAGGCACGTTCCAGAGAAATGCCGCTGGTGGCCAGGGTTGATAACAATCACGATTTAAAAAAAATAAAATAAAAAATCATGATTTTTTTTTAATCAAAAAATTATAATTTTTTTTGATTATTTATTTTTTACATAAACATCCTAATAATTGACATTAACAATGTATTAGTACTTATATTAACAGAGAAAATTTTTGTTTAAACTTACAAATGGAATAGGTGTAGTGTAGGTAACCTACCTAGGGTCGCGAACGATTCAATACTTAGAGGGTATCGATACTTTTGTTTCGATACCAAGGTATTTTGGTATCGATACTTTACTTTCGTTACTTTATACTAATATTGATACTAGTGCTGGCAACTGAAACTGATTTTTTCGATAGTCGGTTAACCGGTTTCGGATAATTTGGATTTTTATGAAATCCGAAAACCGGTTATTCGATTCTTCAAATATCCGAAAACCGGTTATTCGGTTATTCAAATCTTCGAATATCCGATTATTCGATGACCTACTTCCTTGTTTTTTTAGACATCGATTTGTCCAATTGTAATTGACCTTTTTTTATTTTTGGAGATCGATTTCTTCGTAAACAAATTTGACTTCCAGATTTTTTTTTAGACAATTAACCGGTTTTATCTGAAATCGGTTTTTACGGAACCCGCTTAACCGGTTTCACTTTTTCTGGTTTTTGCCAGCACTAATTGATACTGAAGCAATAGTATCCTATCATTTTTTAATTTACTTTACGTTCAGCTTATTTTACTTTGTAAGTTTCCAAATTTGTTGATGAACACAGATGAAACGGGTGGGAGAACTTCAATAACACTATGAATTGTAAATGGATTGAAACAACAAATATTTATTTATTAAATACATACTTTTTTACTTGAAATTTGCGAAAATGTGTTAAACAATGTTTACTGTTCATTACAGATGTTCTGAAAGTACATAAAGTATATAGTGTCATGCGTGTGTTCTGTGAAATGTACAGGTTAGAATTTTTAATTTTTTTTTCTCGAAAGCTTCAGATTACTTTTTTTTAACATCTCTAAACATCTTTTTTTTCATGTTTACCCACGGATATTTTAGTATCGATATTTTAAAGTATCGATACTTTCTGTTTCAATCCGATATCAAGTATCAATACTTTCCTCTCGATCCGTGTCCCTATGTGTGCCTTCTATCTTTCTATAATTACTGTAAATTAACCTAGAGCATACATGAAAATTCCTGTCAGAACTTGAAAATTGCCAGATCTCCGGGTTTGACCCGGAGTCTTCGGGTTTTGATGGTACATCTCCAGGCTCCGGGTGGACATGTCATTTCTCCGGGTCTTCTTTGTTGCGGAAAAAACATTTCCTGATTCCTGATCTCTGTCACGAAGTAGATATTTCCTGATTGCGTCCTTTTTTTTTAGACATCAATTTCTTCGAACACAACAATTCTCTAATAGAAGTGGAAGGAAAAAAGATCCTATTCGGCAATATTTGATTGAAAAATCAAGTAAGCTTGATGGAAAACGTGGTAGTAGAGCTACATTAAAAAGTGTAATGTAGAAATGCAAGGGCTTGTGGACCGACTGAAAATCCTCCGGAAAAACTGTACTTTTTATTTGAATTTTCTGAAGTTTGATTTACTTAGATTATTGCTATACACAATTTCAGTTAAATCATGATTTAAATCACAATTTAAATCAAATTGATTTAAATCGTCGCAACTCTGCTGGTGGCAAATGCTTTTTAACTTTGTAAAGTTTTTGTTACCATGGAACAATGATTCTTAAGTTGTTGTGAGTCGCCTGTACAGGAATCGTTATAATGTACCTAGTTGCAATAACATATTATGGTTTTTTTATTAATCAAATTTTCACATAAACGGTCATGTTAATAAGCAGAACTATCGATACTGGGCTGAGCAGAACCCAAAAACCATCATCAGAAACCATCACATTTACCCAAAACAGTCGTCTGGGCTGCCATATCAAACTAAGGAGTCATTGACCCCTATTTTTTTTGAAGATAATCGTGATCAACTCAAACAGTTACATATGGGCGCTACTGCCATATGATCTGAACATTTTTAACACCTGTAATTCAGAGACAACACTTTGTTCCAGCAAGAAAGACTCACTTCTCATTCAATGATTCAATCGTTGGATGTTCTTCATCAGTTATTCTCAGAAAGAGTTATCAGTGGCAGTGGAGACATCTGGCCAGTGAGAAGTCCCGATTTGATCCCAGCCGATTTTTTTCTTATGGGGCTACCTTAAGAGTAAAGTATACACTCTAATGGTGCAGTATTTGAGAGAATTGAAAAAAAAAATTGCAAAAGAAATCAACACTATTCCTTGTGCAATGCTTCAACAAACTATCGCAAACTTCACTTTGCGATTAAATGAATGTGAAAACATAAACGGTTCTCGCTTACCTAATAAAGAGTCACATTTAGAGGGGAAAAAAAGAAAATTGTTACCTGGAATTTTATAAGTGGAAATGGTAAAGTGGCTTATAATAAATGAAATAAATAATAATAATAAATGTGTTAGCAGGGGCGGCGGAGGGTTGATTTCGGGGGTTGAAAATTTATGAAAAACTGTATCATTGGGATTTCTAGTGAAAGTTGACGTCAAACAAAAAAGTATCTAATACAAAAGTTGTAGATCATGTAAAACTCTACAACTTTTTCAAAATTTCCGAGAAAAATGCGAGAACAGGTTTTTTTCTGATTTTTCGTTTTTTATTTCTCATTTCCTCAAAAATAATTTAATTCTGACAAAACTTGGTGAAAGTATACCTTTCTTAAATAACGACAAATTTTTTTAGATAAAAAAATTAAGAAGAGACATTCATTTTTCCGGTCTGAAACACTTTTTTTTTCAAAGAAAAATTCTACTTAGAAAAAACATCGTATAGAGTTCTGCCGGTAATTATTATTTTCGTTTTGATATATACTTTTTGATGAAATAAAAAAATCTGTAATCACAGTTCAAAAACATGCTCAAAAATGCAAAAAAATGACTTGTAACAATGAATTTTTCAGTAATTGATAATTTGTTTAAATTAAAAAAAAAAATAAAAACTGATTACACCGTTCAACTGTACGGAAAAAATACAAAAAAACTGTCTCATTGTTTGACCCAAAACTTTATTTTTGTACAGTATTGCTATATAAACATAAGTCAAATAGTGAATAAAGTAAATAATTTTTTTTCCATAGAATCGATTATTGTACTTAATTTTTTTAAATTTTGATAAATTCATAGATATACAGTGTGTCCAAGATAAAGTTTTTCAGTTTTTTTCAATAAGGATGTGTTTTTTTTATACCTAACAATATGCCGTTTAGCAAGTTTTAAAATTCCGGGTAATTCCGTAGATATCTGAAAAAACCCGAATGTTTGCAAAATTGTTTAATTTTTTTCTGGCTTTATTTGAAAACGAATTTTAAAATAAATTACTTATTTACAATGCCACTTTTTTCGCTCGATACAATGGCATCAACATTTTTGCAATCTGACGTTTCGTCTTCGAGTGGCTATCATCAAGTTAATTTTTTTAAATACATCGCTGCTAAAAATCTATCTGACAAAATCTAAAGTCGTTTTTAATTCTGAGTTAGAGGATATTACTATTGTAATATGACAGGTTTTTAGCTGTCATTTAAAATTGTTCCCGAATACGGCTCTGAACGCTGTTAAAATATCCATTGGCAGAAGTCATAACATTATAAAAGTCAATACACACAGCGGCGACATATTTAAAAAAATTAATCCAATGATGGCCCCTCGAAGACGAAACATCGGATTGCAAAAATGTTGACGCCATGGATAGAGTGAAAAAAGTGACAATATAAATAAGCAATTTATTTTAAAATTTGCTTTCAAATAAAGCCAGAAAAAAATAAAACGATTTTGCAAAATTTCGGGTTTTTGTATTTCAAGTCAACAGTAGACTTTGAAAATACTTTGTATTGCTGAAATGGAATTTGTGCATTGACATGCGACAGATTCGATTCGATTCGACTTAGATGTTTATAGCAATACTATACAAAAATAAAGTTTAGGGTCAAACAATAAGACAGTTTTTTTTTTTTAATTTTTTTCCGTAGACTTCAATGGTGTAATCAGTTTTTAAATGTTTTTTAATTTAAAAAAATTATCAACAATTACTGAAAAATTCATTGTTGCAAGTCATTTTTTATTTTTTTGCATTTTTGAGCATATTTTTGAAATGTGATTACAGATGTTTTTATTTCACCAAAAAGTATATGTCAAAACCAAAAAAATGATTACCGGCAGAACTCTGTATGATGATTTTTCTAAATAGAATTTTTCTTTGAAAAAAAAGTGTTTCAGGCGGAAAAAATGAATATCTCAGAAACTTCTTGATTTCTTTATCTAAAAAAATTTGTGGTTATTTATTAAGACACAGAAAGAAATACTTTCACTAAGTTTCCTTAAAATTAAATTATTTTTGCGGAAATGAGAAATAAAAAACGAAAAATAAAAAAAAACTGTTTTTCGCATTTTTCTCGGAAATTTTGAGGTTCTGTTAAAAAGAGACCTCTACAAAAGTTGTAGATTTTTGCATGATCTACAACTTTTGTATTGGATACTTTTGTGTTTGACGTCAACTTTTGCCAGAAATCCCAATAATACAATTTTTCATAACTTTTCAACCCCCCAAATCAACCCTCCGCCGCCTGCTCATGCATTTATTTTTTATAGGTTTATTATAAGCCCTTTTACCATTTCCACTTACAAAAATCTAGGTAACAATTTTTTTTTCTTCAAGTGTAATTTAGTTGGACTATTAAGCTTTCTTTTACTATTAATTTGTTTGGATATATACATTCTGAATATCTTTTTTAAAGGCTAAAATAAGAAAATATTTCTGAAACACCGTTTATTTTTAGAGGTTAGGTAAAAATCCTGACGTGATGGAGCATATCTGATTGCTCTATTGTCTTCAGCGAATCAAAATACAGGGGGTTGTCATACTTTCTTAAAAAGTATATGAAACTTTTTGTTTGTCAGAGTTATCAATGCCAAAGTGACCTTCACTTTTGTTTTGAATGACGTTAACTCAGTGACAAATCATCATATAAACCTCTTAAACAGCTCAAATTAAAGAGGATGAATCAAACTAAAAGAACTGAGAAGTGGAATTACCTAAAAAAATTTATTTATGGAAACCTATGGACCTTTTGAAACGGAAGCAAAAATTTTGAAAATTTTGTTTCTGCTGGATTATGATTTCTGAAAGATGAGAAATATGTTTGACTTTCATATCCTGACACTAGAAACTTCAAGCTGCAATTTGTTTTTTTTTTTATTGCCCTATGACCACATTTTTCGCCAAGTTGCAGCCTTTTGACAATCACCTAAAATTATAGGATTTTTTTTAATCCCTTAATATTTGTCCGAGAAGAAGCTGAAGAGAGAATGTTAACGTAGCAATGAAATCAAAAAATTTATAGGAAAGTATGTGTTATTACAGAAGAAATTTGAAACTGGGTATCGAAAAGTGGCGCCAACCATACACAATTCGTATTATTATATTAATTTTTGTGACTAGTTTGTTAAACCTACTGTATGGATGCAAAAATCTTTACCTTTCTAAATAATTTGTGGTCATAAACACCATCCTAGCTTCTGTGCTAGCCACGCCATCCAAACAGTTCAATAAACCGCTAAAGGTAACTCTGTTTAATCCCTCGTATGCGGATTTCTGTTGTGGAGTGTCTTCTCTCGAAACAAACGCTGCATCTATATCTTCTAACAAAATTATACTTTGTTGAGGTGCGACACTGAGCAGATGGTTTAGCCGGTCATCAGATAGACCTCTTTCTGATAGATTGAGTACACATATTGAAAAGCCTAGTTCTCCTGCTAAAGCTGTGATGTACGAGGATTTTCCGCAACCGGGAGGTCCGTATAAAAGATAACCTAAAATAAAAAAATACATTGAATTAGAAATTAAAAATACAAGGTGTTAGAAACATTAAAATCAGGTAGAATTCTTCAAAACTAAATAAGTTGAAGCTCGGAAAAACGGGTTAAAATACCATGGTTACGGTGCCATATAAATTGAAGCCGCGAAATGTTAAACGACGATTTTTCACGTGTGAACAATTGTTTCAAAAGCAAAAAAGAAAGAGTTTTTTGCACCGTATCGTCACTGACGAGGAAAAATGGATGTGCTGTGATAATCCTAAGTGTACGAAATCGTAGGGTTTGCCTGGTCATGCATCAACATCGATGGTAAGGCGGAATATTGATAGTTCGAAGCTCATGCTCTATATTTGGTGGAACCAGCTTTGTATTGTGTACTATGAGCTGCTTCAAACTAATAAAACCATCACTGGTGAACGCAACCGAACACAGTTGATGCGTTTGAGCTGTGCATTGAAGAAAAATGGCTGCAATTCGAGCAAAGACACGTAAAAGTATTTTTCCAACATGACAATGCTCGACTACATGTTGCTTATGAAGTCAAAAAATACTTAGAAATGCTGAAATGAAATATTTTACTCTACCCGCCATATTCACTAGATATTGCTCCATTGGTTTAATACATGGCCTGGCTAAGCAGTGCTTTCAATCTTACAAAGATATGACAAATTGGATCGATTGATTCATAGCATCAAAAGATGATTTGTTCTTTCGATGTGGAATCTGTATGCTGACAGAAAGGTGGGAAAAAGTAGTGGCTAGTGATGGAGAATATTTGAAAAATAATAATGTATAAAATTTTTCACAAAAAAGCCTTGAATTTACAAAAAAAAATCCATCAAAATTAATTCACAGTAAAATAATTTTTATTTTACATAAATATATCAGTTTTATGAACAATTCAAAAATAAAATTAATAAAAAAAAAATTTTTAAATGGCAGAGATCCACTTAGGATCCTCTTTTTTTTCTATCAGGCATCATGTGAAAAATAAAAAAAAATTGCTTACTTATTCAGAACTGAAAAATAATACCTAAAATGTGTCATAGGGAATTTTTTTAAGAATCTTTGTAGAAATGACAGCTGTTTGAGAAAAAAAAAATCAAATTTGTATCTAAATTTTTGAAAAATTATAAAAAATATACGTCTAATCTAATCATAAAAATCCTATGCCACATTTTAAATATGTATCATAAAGAATATGTGATATAAATTTAATCAAAATCGGTTTAGTAAATCTTAAGATATCTTGTCCACCATTTTGAAGAAAGTATTTTGGAGAAAAAAGAAAAAAGTACATCATCCTCTTAAAACCAAATACCATCAGATAATGGACTGTACTCTGCAATGACTTAATTAAATCGATAAATACCCTGAGTGCAGAAAAATATACTGAAATGTACAATGGGGCAATTGTACACTAATAGAAATTATTTAAATAAAAATATTTACGTTGAGATACTAAGCTTATTAATAACTAACATTATAAAGGACCGATTCAGAATATCTTTTATAAAAGTATACAATACCCCTTTTCAAAGTTTTCTCTGCTTGTACCTATTAACTCGCTACCTGAGATGTGGGCGTACTTTGTTGCGCATGAATTTTCATATGATTAACTGCTTAAAATACTCTTAAAAGTATAAACAATAAATATACAGGGTGTATCTAAATAACACCGAAAAAATTCAAGGGGCGATTCTCCGATGAAAATTAATAGGGGTCTTTGGTATAAAATTTTTTGAAAAAACCCTCCCCTGAAAAGTTACGCCCCTCCTAAAATTACAAAAAAAAATTGTTTTTCTTTTTTATCTTCCATGTACATCAAGCTAAAGAAACAAAACTTGGTGAACATTATCTGTCAATAAAACTACACTTTTTGAAATTTTTTCAACCCTGAACTATTTTTGTAAGGGGTTGAAATAATCAACCCCTATGACATTTTCGGCAAAATACACTCGCGTTAAACAGCTTATCTTTTTAAAAATACATTACAATACATTTATTTTTTTTGTCATAAATCCTTAACTTTTCGAAGAAACTTGAAGAGATCAAAAAGTTAGTAAATGAATGGGGTTTTTTAGACATATTTTTTAAAAGGAAAAAATTTTATCGAAAAAAAAATTATAAGAAAAAATGTCATAGGGGTTGATTATTTCAACCCCTTACAATAATAGTTCAGGGTTGAAAAAATTTCAAAAAGTGTAGTTTTATTGACAGATAATGTTCACCAAGTTTGGTTTCTTTAGCTTGATGTACATGGAAGATAAAAAAGAAAAACAATTTTTTTTTGTAATTTTAGGAGGGGCGTAACTTTTCAGGGGAGGGTTCTTTCAAAAAATTTTATACCAGACCCCTATTAATTTTCATCGGAGAATCGCCCCTTGAATTTTTTCGGTGTTATTTAGATACACCTTGTATACAAACAAAACTGATTTTCTGTAAATCTCAAGGTGGTGTAATCCCTTAATTAAAGTAGAATAGATAATTCTCATATTTACTTAAGGATGGAAGTTTTTTATTTTTTGTTTCAATGAATTTTCAAATTTTCTTAGAATAGAAAAGACTGGTATTTTTTTGTATATAAGGTGTAACTGTGACATATTGCTTAGAGCAATACTTTTGATCTAAAAAATGATTTATTCTATAACATAATCTACACAGAGAGAGAGAGTACATAAAAATTAACCAATAAATTCTGGTTATGTTGTGTTATTTAGGGCTGTAAGGTTTCCAACACTAAAAATCGGGACATTTGAGTCAGCACAAAGGGAAGTTAAATTAAAGGCTTAATATACAAAGTATATTGCTTTATTGTTTAACATTGTACATACTTAACAAATTATTGCAAATATTTTTCATTAGATTTCGCGTCGCAAATTTTTTTTCCTGTCTCGGTTTTCAGATAATTGAAAAATTCATTGCAAGTCATTTTAAAATTAAACTTAACCATTAGTTCGGCTTCTACGGTTTTCATTAACAGGGAGTTTCTCTTCCTTCTCCACACTTTATTCATAAAGCTAAATACACGTTCTGAAGACGCATTAGAATGAGGCAAGGAGAAAACAAAATTGCAAATCTTTTCCAGGTTTGGGCCTATATCATTTGTAAAGAAATACACCCATTTTTGGTCATAACAAAATGATTTAAATTAAATTATTTTTAAATAGTGGTATCGGGTTCAGCCAAGAACAATTTTAACTTTGAATATTCCTCAAACAATAAATCCTGATTTATTGCAATTTCAAAATTCTCGGCAACTTCTACAATTTTGTCAAAATTAAAATCATTTTCCAGAGTTATGAGTTCTAATGATTTTAATCTAGTGTCATCATAGTTAAACCACTTATTTAAATAATTAATCATAGTTTCCAAAACTGCATCTGTTTCATTTATAAATATAATGAAATTTACTTACTTATGTGGTGGTAAGTGATGGCACAAATTGTCTCCATGTGGCACGGGAATTAAAAATTAAATAAACTAGCAAAGACCTAATTCCCCCCTTGCCGGTGCAAATTCCAGCAGTGCGCTCTGTATAAATACGTCTTTATGCGACATAACTTAAAGTCGGGATTTTTGCGTCCCGATTAAGAGCGAGGCGGGACGCGGGACAAATCAAATAAAATCGGGACAATCCCGCCTAAATCGGGACACCTGACAGCCCTAGTTATTAAAGAATTTTCTGAAAAATAAATATGTGATGTTATCGCTTTGATTTTGTTGTCATTATGAACTTTCTATATATATGAGTATTTAGGGAACCCAAATAATTTTACTTAAAATCCGAAGCCCAAAGAATGATCCCAAAACCCGAAATCTTCTGATCAAAATGACACTGTTGGCAACCTAAGTTCTACCTACTGCTAAACTGTAGCACGTAGTCAGGTATGCCCTGTATATTAAAACAAATAATGACATACTTTATAAAAGCAAATGAAAAGAAATTATGCGGTGAATAAATATTTTACAAATTGTAAATAATGTAATAATGGATTTACCTCTTCTATATGGAATTCCTCTTTCTATATACCAGAATGGATTCGAAATAAATTCTTGGCAGTCTTTTAAAATTCTATCACTGATCCCATCGTCCAATATTACTGAAGAAATAGGTCTCTTCCGTCTTGGATGTCCGAAAGGTCTCCAGTCACTGCCCAATGCAGCGTACATTATTGTTTTACCTTCGTGTTGAGTTAAAGCCATCTGTCTAGCTGACAATATTGTATGAGACACGAATTATAGTACAATTAATTAATTAAGAATATATTGTTAATTAAAATTTGTTTGCATAATGTTTCACTGTTTATTTTTAAACTGTATGCAATGGTTCGAATGCATACTATATTTAACAATTTGAAACATATGTGGATAAGTATTTTACATTAATTTTGATTTAGCAATTCCATAAAGTTTGGAACTTAAAAGTGTTTTCTATTTAAAATGTCATGCTCGTAATAATTTTAGTAACAATATTATCAGAGGTACAAGAATTGCTTACTTTCATTAAACTAGAAAGGGCATAATTTATTTGAGATTTCAAACTCATTTGTTATTAAATTCAATTACACAATTAGTCCCTGTCTATATGAGCAGAAAGTTTGACAGAGTGCGTCTGATAAAATTTCCCACCAACTTTCTAATGATGAACTTATTTTCTTATTAACTCACATAACTATTATTAGGTACTACATACAGAACTTTCATAAATGATTACAAGCCAAGTAACCAGTAATTTTGTTCGGAACAGTAATTTTGTTTCCTTCACATTGGCAAATAAATTTCAGTAAAATTAAAACAATAAGATCAAGATTACATTAAAACCCAATATTCTGTTTCATCGGGTGTAATTTTTCATGAGATTTTATTCAACAAACCAGCGATCACATTATCCCGAACATAACGGTTTGTCATTGTTCATTGGTACGAATCATTAATATTGGTGATGCTAAGATTTAGGAAATTTTTGTTACCACTACCAATAGTGCATTGCTGTGTTGCCTAAGCTTAGCGGTAACGTGGCTTGTATACATTTATGAAGGCTATGTATAACAATACCTTCTTCAAGTATTCTGAAGTAAAGACTTTTGTTTCGTCCAAAAGCTGTCAGTTGCACAGTTTCCCAGGGAGTTCCCATATGTAAATCTAACGTATGCTGTTCTCTAGTTCGTTCTACACGTATCCACGTACTTCCATATCTAAAACAATAAAATACAATAATTATAAAAAACATATAATTTTAAATATCTAACTTACCTAAAAAAATGAGTCCCTATACTTGGTATAAAATCATATTTAGTTTTTATGTGTCCGCTATCTTTTTGTTCGAAACTAGTTTCAACACTAAGATGCTGTGTTTGACGAGCACCTTTAGTAGTCATCCAATGTAGCAACCATTGGTAAGATTTGTCTCGACATGGGACTTCTAAAGTAATCATGTAGTGCCTTCTAAAAAATATAAGAGAGGCTTGGAATCCTTTTCGTAGCAAGGCAGCTCCAGCTCCTACACCAAATAATCCAAATCCAGCACCAAAGTAAGGATTGTCGGATAATGTGGAAATATATTCTGTGAGTGTCATTGTAGATTCTCAAATCTATCTTCTATGAAGGAATGGAGAAGATAAAATAAAGTTTTCACATAATAAAAACAAAACCTTACTTTTCATTTCACTTCACTAATTCATAACCTAAAAGTTGCCGGCCCAGCTGTGACTTGCGACAAAAGTGAGAATGGTTATTTCTTAGAAACTACAAATAGAAGAAAGGCAATTGCAAGGAAATAACAAATCCGTAATTTAAAGGCTAGTAAAATTTTAAGATATATTATTTATAATTCTGTTTTATTTAATGTTTCAAAAAATATACATAGGTACCTAATTTCTGTTAGAGATATAGTGAGTGATCATAAAAGTCATTAAATAAAAAAGGCAGCGTCTACCATCAAAAAGAAAATATATTTTTATATACAGGTTGTCCGAAAAGGACGTCAAAAATGAAGGGGTGTACAGGGAAGCTCAAAATAATAGTAGGTAGTACTTCATATAATTTTTTTTTATGGGGCTTCGTTTTGGAGTTATTCACCTTCAAAGAAGGAAAGTTTAAAACACAAATTCCAATTATAACTTCTAAGTTCTAAGACATGAGAACAATGAAATTTGGGTAATTAAAGTAACTCATGGTAACATTCATTTCCAAGTTTAAACTTATAATATTCAATATGACTGGATTATACAGGATCAGACAAAATTATCCATTTATTAAATTTATACATTTTTGACAGTGTTGTCAAATTTGACATTTTTCTTTCATGGTTCGATTCCTCCCTCACTTTGTTAAAAAAAAGGTATACCGTACATCAGTCCATATCTTGTACCGTTTTTGAGAAAATCGAATTTTATTAACAAACATACATTTATTGTATCAAAAATGTGATACTAACATTTTTGTAAAAATCTTGGTTCCTATAGAATTCAAAGAAAAAAGAGATGTTTAATATATGCACCTTGAACTTCAATGCATTTTCTGAAATTGCTCAAACCCCTCTGCTATAATCAAAATAACATGTGGTGATCATTTCTAATGATGTCGGCGTATGTAATTATGCGATTTAATAATTTTTCTCTACCTACTATTTTATAGGAGTTTGATAAACAAGACTTAAGATGACAAAAATCGAGAGAATTAAGATCGGGACACCGAGGCGACCACGGAAAAAGACTATCTCGACCGATCCATCGATCGGAAAATGTGGTATTTAAATAAACTCTTACTGCCCTACTAAAACGGGGTGCACTACTGGGCATAAGCCACATGTTATTTCATAATATTTAAAGGCATGTCTTCCAATAACGGGTTAAGGAGTTCTTGCAGTAAATGTAGATATTTATCCCCATTTAAAGCGTCATCAATGATGAATGTGGTCCCACTTAAAGTAGTTTCCAATTATTCCCATCCATATATTAATTATACATTTTTTTTACTGTTTTGTCTGAATAATAGTATGGGGGTTTTCGTCACTTCAAATATGCAAATTCTATTCTCTTTGGAAAGCGGTCGGCGTAAATCCGAACAACTTCAGAAGCATTACATTTTGCAAGTTCGTACATTAGATGATTATCTGCAAATTCTTCATAGCTAAAATCCTCCATGATATTGAATCAACAAATGATGTCAAAATGATTTATGAGAAATATCTAACTGCTAATAATTATACATGCTTGTTGACAGTCATCTCAATTTCCAAGATTTTTGCAAAAATCGCATTTTTGATATAATAAATGTATGTTGTTAATAAAATTCGATTTTCTCAAAAACGGCACAAGATATCGACTGATGTACGGTATACCTCTTTTTTAGCAAAGTGAGAAAGGAATCGAACTATGAAAGAAAAACGCCAAATTTGGCAACGCTGTCAAAGATGTATAAATTTAAATGGATAATTTCGTCTGCTTCTGTGTAATCCAAGCATATTGAATATCAGTTTAAACTTAGAAATGAACATTACCATGAGTTACTTTAATTGCCCAAATTTCATTGTTATTATGGTTATGACTTAGAAGTTATAATTGGAATTTGTCTTCAAACTTATTTCTTTGAAGGCGAATAACTCAATAACGAAGACCTATAGGGTAAAATTTTTTATGAAGTGCTACAACTATTTTGAGCTCCCTTGCATACCCGTTCATTTTTGACATGACCTTTCCGGACACCCTGTATATAGAGCTGAAAGTGGCTAATTTCGGAGATGCTGGATGTTTTACAAATTAATCGAATAAGTGTAGTGTGCGCTATTAAGTGTGCAAAAAATGGAAAATCTTTTTATTATTTGCAAACGAAAATTTTACGAAACATCCCGAAATGTTGGTGCCTGTTTAATAACTATCCTAACTGTACTTAGTCCAAATCTAGCAGCAGACAGGTCAGGCCAAAATTAAAAAAATAGCCATGAAAGTTTTTGAAAATGTATATTTCATACTCAACGATCAAAGTAAACGATTCTTTTCTGTGTATGTCAAGAATCTTTTTAGATATTTTTTTTATAAAATTTCAATATGAAAACAAAGCGTTTCTGAACATTCCTTTATAGATTTTTTTTTTAATTTTGACTAATCGAATTCAAATCTTTTGTTTAGAAAATTAAGTCTGAAACACCCCATATAACACAACACATCCTGTATTTGGAGACAAACACTTTTATAACTTATTATGAAAACATATTTTGATGTTTACTTCCTATAATAAGTAGCTTTATTATTTTTATGACATTTCACAAAAATAACTTTCGTGTGTCTAATCGTTTATTTTTTTTTCAGTTTCCACTACAATTAATTTGTAATAATGTTCCATTTCCTCATTAACTCCTGGATACAGAAATAGCTCAACAATTATGGGACTTATGCACAGTCAAAGCAATCCAAAATTCTCTGAATGTGTCACTTAGTCACACATGTCGTAATTGTCTCAGAAAATCTAAAAATAAAATAGGCAATATATTTATAATGTAGGTATTACATCTCTTACATATAAGTATATTTAATTGTAAGTTAGACCTATACTATAACTGAAAGTAATCAAAATTTTACTAGTTGTTTTCAGACTCTATTATATGCTACCTACTCGTACATAATAATTAAGTTTAAAGGATGAAATTGTAAGAAAAAAATACTACCAACATTTATTCGAAACTATTAACTTTTAATGTGTGGCAAAAACGTACATTTAAAATTAACTCGCAACTAAGGCTGGTAAAAATTTTTACGACTGGGTTTTTTCATTATGTACGAGTATATCAAGAGACTACATGTCAAATAGAATTATAGGGTAAGTATATCAGAAACTAGTAAAGATAAAAATGTAATGGGAATGTCCCTATAGTGCACACTTTTTAAGTCTGTTAAATTATCATCATTGTCTTCTTGAATGCGCATTCAATATTCTTTCAAAGCTTTTTCAATTGTTTGTGAAGCTTTGGGACAGGGACAACAATTTTATTTTACATTAACAGGAATTGTTAAAAAAGAAAGAAAAACTGCTTAAAAAATGCCGCAACTTTCTGACAATATAGCATGTAACAGGTAAGTGTCCATGTATGCATTATAGGTAAATTTTTTATAACTTTTTCATTTATATCTGTAATTTAATCATTAATTCACTTTGTAATAGCGTAAAATGTAATAAAATTATATTATTTTAATTTAGATAATATTTAATTTAACAATTTATAAAAACATTTTTCGCTTGAATTTTTGGACTATTGAAAAATACGGAGACCCAATTATATTGATTATGAGTTTATGTTTACATAATTTTTAAACCACTTTTATCTATTATGAAAGCAGATTCTTTTTTTAATTTTTGATTTGAACTTTTGACTACTGAAAAATACGGATAATTATAAGTACTGATTGTGAACTTATGTTTGCATCAATTTTAAACCAGTTGCATGTATTAAAAAAGCATTTTTTTAATTTGATTTGGATGGAGGTGTAGATAATATATTTCCCATTTCGGTAAATGTAATTACTTGCGTTATTATATCAACAAGTGACATCCATACACGAGTACTAGCATACCTGTCCAAATCAGACAAAGCATTAAAATGCTTTCTCTAACTGTAAAGAGTTATTCGGAAAACTAAAATATTTTGCCACCTTCGATGCCTTCTAGTAGGTAAAAGAAGCCACTTTGGATAGAGTTAAGTTTAGTTAAATAAAGATAAGTTTAGACTTATAGTCTTATTTTCCATGAATCCATGGAACAGTATATATAGGGTGTTCCAATTAAAACTTCCCACCTTGAAAATATCGGAATTAAAAAAACTGAGACACGTTGTTTTCTTTCAAGAGGGACAAATGATGGCTTTGTTTTGATGTCTTGGAAGCTATACCTTAGCAGAGGCGTAAAATACCCTTAAACTTTAAAAGGCACCCTATGTTGTGTTACATCTCATTTTAAAGCTTTTTCAGTAATGCTCAAGATGACATACGAGTTTTTAAATTTTGGGTTGGATATATCAATGAATGAAAAATGTTATTTTATTAAGTGTTGAAACTGGTTTCCCTTCGCTTTCATACAATAATAAAAACTTTGCTCCACTTCCGAACGAACATATCGAAGCATTTTGGACGGATATTTCTGGATATAAAAAAAATTGTTTTGATTTTTCGTTTATCTGTTAATACATAAACTTCATATTCTATCAGTTTTTTTTTTATCTGTTTTACTTTAAACGAGACAATATTGTCTCGTTTTGTCTTGCCGAGACAATACCTCGTAAAATCGTCACAAAATTGATTGAATTCCAATTCGTGAAAATAGTATATATGTACAATTGCTGAAAAAGTGGAAATAATTGTTTGTTCTTTAAATGATGATTTTATTGTCATATCCAAAACACAATTTAAAATTTAAAAAGTTGTATGTCGTCGTGAGCAGAATTGAAAAAGCTTTAAAATGAGGCGTCACTCAACATAAGGTGCCATTTAAAGTTTAAGGGAATTTTACGTCCCTGCCTAAGGGGTAGCTTCCAAAACTTACGTTATCACGTGTCTCCCTTGAAAAGAAAATCGAAGTCTCAGGTTTTTTTGTTTTTTTTATTCCGACATTTTTCAGGTGGCAAGTTTTAATTGGAACACCCTGTAAATGGTATATTGAGACATCCTGTATAAATATCCAAATACTCAAAGTGACCAAAGAAATTAAAATAAGTTTAAAATAATAGTAGTTAATTACCGCAAATTATTATTTCACAGAATTATTATTTGTATTTGCCCTCATGAAAATATGTATAATAAAAAACAAATGTATTTGAATTTTGCAAAAACACGTGTAGTATTACATTGCATTTTTTTTTAATTCATTATAAGTTATAAAAATAAATA